CAGCCTACTGTAGCTACAGTCAACATTTTCTCACTCAACAGATATTTACTCAATATCTACTGAATGCCCCAGACTAGTCAGGCTGGGATGGGTGTGCTAACTATGTACAGAAATGATAGAGGATTCTGTCCTCATATTGCTTGCTGCCTAGGTGATGTATGTACACAAATCTTTAGGATATAAAGGGAGAAAGTGGCAAATGTTGGCAGACATTTACTGACAAAGGGCTATGTATACTGAGACAGGGACACTGGCGGGATAGACAGGGAAGGACTTCAGGGAGTACACAGTACCTCCTCTGGAATGGAAGACTTGGGCAGGAATCACCTCAAGTCAAAAGGAAAAGCCTAGATAGAGGTGGGTCTAAGGAGCTGAAACGTGTCAGTGATGGGGTAGATTAAAAAGGACATTTAGAAAAACAGGTCAGAGCCCAGCTGTTAATAGAGAGATTTCATCTCATTATTAAGTTCTCATGAAGAAGTAAAATGGTCATGATCTTAGCCCTCTGTATTCACATGTTCCACATCCAGGGATTCAGTAAAGTGTGGTTCAGAAATTTTCAGGAGCCAGGCAGCAGGCACCTGTAATCCTAGCTACTCAAGAGGCTGAGATCTGAGGATCATGGTTCAAAGCCAGCCCAGGCAGGAATGTCCATGAGACTCTTCAGTTAAGCACCAGAAAACTGGAAGTGGTGCTGTGGCTCAAGTGGTAGAGCACTTGCCTTGAGCTGAACAGTTCAGGGACAGCACCCAGGCCCAGAATTCAAGCCCCATGACCAACCAAAAAATATATATATATATAGGAAAAGATTGCATTTGTATTGAGCATGTGCATAATTTATTTCCTAGGCAACATGGTATAAAAACTGTTTACATAGCTCTTGCACTTTTCTTGATATCATAAACAATCTAGAGATGATTTGGGATATATAGGGGATATGCATAAGTTGTTTGAAAATATTATGCCATTTTCTGTACAATTCTTGAGCATTGATAGATTTGAGTATTTCTGAGGACCTTAAAACCAGTCTTCCACAGTACAGAGGGAGTTTTGTACTTTATAGTTGAAGCATGGAATGAATTTTCATGAAAAAGACCCCTGTTTTGTGTCCATCTCAAAGTGTTGGATATTTGCTAGCCTCACAACTGAGTAGGTGGATTGAAACCTTTGGTAATAATCACTTTTGAAATTCAGGCACAGTTTAAGTGACTCATTAGTAAGCAAAGAAAAATGTCTATAAAGAGTCATCACAAACAGGCCCAGAAAATGCACAGGAAGGAATGAAGGAGGAAACCTGCTAACAGCTCTTAAATTAGGTGGCTCGGGTACAGGGGAACTGAAACTAGACAGTGTCCGTGAAAGTCATACCAAGGGCTGCTCAGTTTAGTATAGACAGGAGCCATGCTGGGGTAGAGGAGCTGAGGCAGAATGGACCAGAGCCTGTAGGGCCGGAAAACTCCAGAATGAAAATACTCAGAAGATAGCAGCAGAACAATTTATTTTTTAAAGAGCAAATTCAGTGTACTAAGCTTGATTTAAAAATTAGTAGACACAAAATAAAGGAACATGATCTTGGAAAAATAAAGAGTTGGTAAAATGGGCCATTAATCAGTGGTTCTGATTGTCCCTCAACAGTCTGAGTGGCCACCTGGTAGGTACCTATGGACCATTCTAGTTTGGGTGTGAAGAGCCAATAGGCTGCACTGGGCAGCAGCTATCAGCAGTGGACTTAGATGTGAAGCTGTGGCAGCCACTACACCGGCCTGGGTTGTGGGCAGGATGGTTTGGCTGTGTGTGAATCAGCATCAGAAACAGCCTCAAAAACAGCCACCGTGGAGGCATGAGTTTTATGAATTGTCTATATGCAATTGTCTATTAGTCACACATTGAACTATCCCTCCTGGATCCCTGGCTCTCAGAAGCTGCATTTCCCATTGCAGAGACAGCTGTGAGCACAAACTCACCATACCACTGTCTTGGTCATCCACACTCTGTATTTAATGCTACTTCATAATGAGTTCTCTCTTAGCTTTAAATGCTTAAACCCTTATGGTACTGCTGAATTCCAGGTTGACACAAAGAGTTTCCAGCCTGTTTATTTGCCTATATCAGCCTATGCAATTGCTCCAGCCTTCTCAAAGAAATTTCCATAGGAAAAGAATTGGAGTGAATTTATAAATAAGAAGGTTGGAAGATAGTGGTGCTGTCTCCACAGAAGCAAAGCTCAGTGGTCAAAGCAGAAATATAGTTTGGCCCAAGAATTTGCTAAAATTTAATGTTATTGTAGATTGTTTGCCTTTTTTCCTAATTTCTATAAAACTTGACACACCTATCTTAATGAAGTATTATTGTCTGGGAATTATGTCCAAGTTTCATATTTGATTTTATATCAGAACTCAGTTATTGACCATTTCCAGAGTTAGGACACATAAGATGACAAGATAGAACACATTTTCATCACCTTTACACCCAGGGTTGCATAGCTTTTGTTTTCTGTTAAAAGAATAGGAGAAGTAATTTAAGCTTCTTAAAAAGAAATTTTCTCTCCAAGCAATTTTTATTTTGTCTTCTGCCTTAAGGTAGTAAGACATTGTTTGTTTTACAGAGGAGGGACAAGACGCAGAGAGAGTAATTATTTCTATGATTATTCCATATTACTGATTTTTACTGTTGACACAGCTGTGTATGTGGGTTGAAAACATTGCTCTAATGTAACAATAATACAGTCAATGTAATTAATAGCTAAGCATTGTATTTAGAAAGGCATGCTTGATATTATAATAATGATAGTAATTATTAGGAAATTATATATAATATGAGCCAAACTACAGTGCCTGGAATTGCTAGGATTTTATTTAGAAGTTATCAGGAGGGTAACATATAATTTTTTATATATAACTAATACACTAGTAACTGTGAGGAAAATTATTATTAGACTGTTAATGACCTTTCTGGGCTAAATATAAGATTTTTTTGTTTTGCTTTAATTTTCCCCCCTTTGGACTCTCTTATTATTTCAAAAAGTAGAATGAAAAAGCAAACCTTTTTAATATGAGGAAAGAAGGAGAAAGGACCAGACAGCAAAAGGAGAGTTGAGGGTTGCTCACAAAGACCTGTATTATTTGCACAGCTTTTTAGTGTCTGATCTGATTCCTGCCCTTGTCTGGCTTCCTCTGTACTTTACAAGTCTAATCCTGTACCTCCCTCCATCCTCACCTCCAGCTACTCCTTTCTTATTATGCCTCTTTTCTCACCAGATTCCTTCTTCCCAAAATGTTTCCCCCAACCTATCCCTTCTCACATCCTCCATACCTGAGAATAGCTGTAAAGTCATTTCCCTGATAATCATTTCATAAAATTTATGAACAATTAATAAATATATATTAATTGTGTCATTTGACCACTATATATATTCCCCTCAAGTTTCTATGTTCTAACAAGTCCCATGTCTTATCATACAATGATGTTTAAAAGTACTCACTGCCTAGGCCTGGTCATCATACACATAATCCTAGCACTTAGAAAGTTGAGACAGGAGGATTATATGTTCAAGACCATACTGACCTCCACAAAGAGACCCAGTCTGAGTGAATAACTAAATAAATAATATTGACTGACTTGGGCTGTATTAAGAGGGAATAGTGAAGAAGCAAGAGAAAACCTAGGTTTTAAAGAGTTACTTTTTTAATGGACGCTAAAAAATACCCAATAGCCATGGGAAATATCAAAGGAATCTTGAGTCATGTATATACAAATTACTGTTGCATTAGAGTCCTCAGTAAAACTTCAATATTTAGCATTTAGAAATGTCAGGATTTGGAACCAACTTTCTAATCAATAATTGTGTCAGCACCTCTATAAGTCATATGCTCATAGCTTGTGCTGTTTCCTCATTATAACCTAAATATTCTTACAAACAGATCTACATGGAATAGACTGCCTATTTTATAACATAATCAAGAAGTGGGCTGTGCTGCTTAGTTAAATGTTATGGTTAATAGTGTCACATTACATACACCATTCCGCTTTAGTCCATATTGTATGACTGTGATTATAATAAACTGCATTTACCCTAAAACTTACTGGTCACAATGGAATCATGAATGAAAATATATAAAGATTGCACAGTGCTTTAATGGTCACTTAACCTTGGCACCATGCAATACTCTAATGGTTGTTAATATAGAAATCCTTATGGTAGAAAATGGGATGATCTGGTTTCTTCTACAATAGAGTATTCTATAATAATAATAAGATAAAGGCGAATTAATTCAGATAGGCAACAAGACAGAACACATGCCGTTTGGTTAAAATGCTTATAAGGTCCTTAATGAATGAATATAATAAACTTGCATCTATCAGAATCCTTAGCTCCTATATAATCCTTTGCTCCTTGCTTTTACTATTCTCCAAGGCTGATTTTCAGAAATGTAAGAACACTTTTTGTATTTTAGAAAAAACTGTAACCTCTGTGTACATCGCCTTAACAATACAGTACAATAAAATTTAAAACAAAAATACTACTTCAAAAATACAGCAATCCAAATTGTCCTGTCTTGATAAACACTAATGGAATGTGACTGTTGCCACTGTGAGATTGAAGCTTGAAGCTATTTCTGTAAGTTTTCTAAAGATACCCCCTGAGCCAGTAGAAAGGAGGCTGGAGACAGAAAAAGATTCTGTGTCCTCACTAAAAGCACATCTTGTATGCATTTCATTCTTGGGGGAGGGTAGATTCCAAACTGGAGTTGGCTTTTCACCCATGTTCCTACATGTCTAACAAGGGATTCTCTGTACAAGTGTGTCCACAAATAAAGTGAGTATCAAGGTGATTACCAGGATGAATGGTCACTGGTCTAAAATGCCTGGAGTATGTTTGCTGGTAAGAAGATAGATTAGTTGGCTTTTCTAGACCTTTCTAGCCAGTGGAGAGATTTCTAGTTGAAAAAAATATTTCAAGTGGTTTTTTTTTTAACTTTTTCTTTTCTTTTTTTCTCTAGATCTATGCAGTTAGATCAGTTGTTCCCAACAAAAGCAATAATGAAATTGTCCTGGTGCTACAACAGTTTGATTTTAATGTGGACAGAGCTGTGCAAGCCTTCGTGGATGGTAAGTATTCATGATCCGTGAAGATGAACATTGGAACTAAATATTCCATATGTTCTGCATTTTTTGTTCTTAATGAACTGAATATTCGTTTCTAATATTTTACTTCTCCTAAAAATGTACTCGATTTTAAAAATACATACATATACTCAATAAGAGTAGACATTAGAAATCATAATCCCCTCATTAATATAAAGAGATAAAAAGGTAATTTTCAAAGATTATTGACTTAATGCTTCTAATTGCCTTGCCTACAGTCAGTCCAGTTTTCTATTGATGTATCCTTATACATGGAGGACAATAAAATTGATTTCTACGCTGAAACACCTTCTCACCTCTTCCACCAGCATAATTGTGCTTAGCACTGTGACTGAAATTCTTGAGCTAAATACTTAGTTTAAGTGGACTGGTTTATGCTTAAATGTCCTTAGTTTATGAATTTTAGACTACTTCATTAAATGAGATATCAGTTAACTACCGCAAAAGCATTTTACTTTCTAAAATTTTGTTTATTGTTTCCAATGGTCCATCACCAGTGATATTATAGAATCTAAAATCTCAAGGATATGTTTATCCTGTAAGCTTGCAGTGTTAAGCTTTCATTTTTGTAAATTATGGAGAAATGTTCTGCCCATAAACAAACAAAACAAATATTGCTTTTAAACAAAGATCTCTTGCCTGTCCTTAGAAATATCTTCTTTCCTGCTATTTGTTTCTGTTTTATAAATAATGGACTAGTTAAACCTCGTCTGACAAATAAGGTTAGAGAAGATCTGTCACACATTTCTCAGTTGTACTCTATTCACACATTATTTGACAGTATGGTTTAGTTACAAATAGAATAACTTTCTTGAGTTTCTACAAGTATAATTGCATTTCAGGGCACGATCTTGGAACCAAGCAACATATTCACATTCTGATATTGGCAGTCCAGGTTTAGGGGTCTTAATTAGATTAAGTGATTATCACTCAAAATAGACCTGCAGGCAAATCTCTTACAGGTAACTTTTCTCAATGTTTTCTCCTGTGAGAGTCAAAAAATTATTTAATAGGACTCATTTATGAGGTATGTTGATGACACTTAATTCTAAGTGGTTTAAAAAAACCCAAGCAGCTTGAGTATAACTCAAATTTAATAACATTTTTAAATCCTCCATAAATATGAATATTTCTTCTTCAGATTTACTATATGTATATACTGCCCAAATTACAGATTGAATGTATGCTAAAAGACAAAAATTAGAGGACTAATTAAATATAGCCATTGCAGAAGCAATAAGCAATTCATGCTCTTCTGATTAAAAAGAATAGTGCTTAGTAAAAGTAAGAGTGGCTCTAATGGTCAACACTGGAATGACTTACTAAGACACCTCATGAAAGTGATTCCCTTTAGTTCATCAGCAGGAAAATGCTAGGAAACTTTAATTCTCTGCGAAAATTAAGAGAAAGACCAACCCAGTCAATAGGAGTCTAAATCATAGCTTATTTTTAGGCACAATCTCATTACTTCAACTGTATGCAACTCAAACAAGTCTAACAGGAGGCACTGAATTGGAAACTTTGAAGAGATAGGAATAAATTAGCCTGTCTAAACATTAGCAATATAGCTCTCTGCTTATCTGTCAGTGACAGCATACTCAATTAATTGGGACCCTACTAGTTTTGAATCTGTTAAAAAGACCAACCTGAAGTTTATATTTGTTTAACCAACACTTTGTACAGAGTTATTAGTCTAATGGGATCTTATAAGAATGCTTCAAATTGCTACAAGAATACATTTTAAGAGCCACTGTTTTTAAGAAGTACCTCTTTATATGAAAACAACTGTTACCTGTAACTTTTTCTGGAAATTACCACAGCACCATTAGAATAGATGAAGTCTGTTGGACTACGTAAGAACATTGATTGTGGCTGACCAGTGATGAAACATTTCTTTGAAAATGTGGTCTAACTTCACTGGATCAGGCTTCTCCGTTGGGTCCATGCATAACCTGGGACCCAGTAGACATATAATGAACTCTGTTGATTTCAAAATGGATGCCTTGTAAAGACCAAATCATCTATCTCCATGGTGAAGAGAGAGAAACTAACATCACAGGCTCTGATTTCCTTATTCTCTTGTAGGCCTAGGTACATAAAGAGCAAGAGCAGAAAAAAAAGAAAGCTACGAGGCAGCCAGGAGCTGGTGGCTCACGCCTGTAATGCTAGCTACTTATGAGGCTGAGATCTGAGGATCGCGGTTCAAAGCCAGCCCGGGCAGGAAAGACCGTGAGACTCCTATCTCCAATAAGCCACTAGAAAAAAAACTGGAAGTGGCGCTGTGGCTCAAGTGGTAGAGTACCTGCCTTGAGCTGAAGAGCTGAGGGACAGTGCCCAGGCCCAGAGTTCAAGCCCCATGACCGACAAAAAAAAAAAAAAAAAAAAGCTACGAGGCACATGGTTAATGGAGTTTTGTTTCAAAGATTACGGTAGTATTATTCATCGATTGAACAGAGCGGTTTTAATTCTATGTATGGCAATGAAGCTATCAGAAAATTCTCATGGTATTGTTCCTTTCCCCTAAGACAATATAGTGATAAAATAAAAACAAGCTTCATGTACTAGGGCTTAATATTTTGATAAAATCATGTTTGTGCTGTGAATTAAATGAAAATCTGGGAAATAAGAAATGAACTGGCATTTTTATTAAGGCAGATCTATCAACACAATGAAAAAGTCTCCCCCCTAAAAAAATTGCTACCAAGATGAAAAAAGATGAATTTTGTGTAGTGTTTTATTATATGGATATTTATTGAAGATTATTTATCTTTATCTAGGCAGTGCAATTCAAGTTCTAAAAGAATGGAATATGACAGGAAAAAAGAAGGTAAGATTAATGTTGATCATACATTAATAACATGTTCAATCCAAACCTTCATAGCTGTTATCATTTTAAAGAAGCTGCCAATTTTATCCTTCTTTCAAATTCATTAATACGTACACCCAAAAAAACTTCCAAATTCATGTTTTTCTTACACTACCAGCCACTTTCATTCCTATACTCTTCTTTTCTACTCAGTATTTTTAACCGCCAGGTAAGTTGAAGAAGTGCCAGAATTGTGTTTCTTTGAAAGTATTCAGGGGAGCTCGGCCTGAGAATTCAAAACATTCAAGACATTAACTTGCCCAAACATATCCCACAGTACAAAGGAAAAAAATTAGAGCATTTTAAAGATAACTTGAAAAGCTCTGAATATATGTTCACATTTTTTAACGGAAATAAATCTGTCCAAGGCTGTTTTGAGATACTTTTCTGCTGAACTCTAAAGCTGATCTTTAATAAAAGAAGAACAAAATGCGTTAAAAGCAAAAGAGAGCATGGGATCTTCTTGAACACTGTCATGGTGCTCCCTGAGAGCAGAGAGGAGATTTTGCTCTGTCCCAGATAAATTACCCTGTCTGTTTTCTCCTCTAGTCATAAAGAGGCCTTGACTCCTGAGCATAAACACAGTGAGCCAGTACACACACCAGCAAATTCTGCTGGTCTTTTCAGCCATTGACCCACCCATCTCCACAGTAACATAAAAGCCCTGTGGTGTGGTCCTTCCAGAATATAAGATGCTGCTCCACACTTTCCCCACTGAAGAGGAAGATCACAGGCCTGTAGAGCAGGTTTCAAAAAAAAGTAGTATTATTTTGATACAACCCCAAGATTACTGAAACTATAGAATCTTCCTTTGCTCTTTTCCTTCTGGTATCACATAAAATAGGAAGCATTTTTCTTTTCCATGTTGTATGCCACCATCTCTGTCAATCTCTGCTTATCTTTAAATCATAGCTTCCCAGGTTTCTGCATGAGATGAAGATAATTTGCAAGTGATTGAAAGGCAGTATTTATCTTTACATGGAAAAATTTCAGATGTGTGGTTTGGGTTTTAATTTTCTCTGCTGTGAATAAAAAGGGAGACCTAAGTAATTACTCAGCCTCCCTCTTGGAGGTTCAGGAGGGCAATGATTCCCCTACCTGCATGCAGATGCTTGAAAACCAGAAGCCACTAGGGGGTCCATGAAAGAGTAGGTGCCCCTTTTTTCTGCACCTAAGGGTGCCTTACCAAGGCATGATTGAGGGTTCAAAGGAAAAGAAACAGTGGACAATAAAGTGAAAATAAGGAAACAGTTTCTTTTTCTTTCTTTCCTGAGGAAGAAGTTCAAAGCCAGGCTGCTGCTTAACTGGTACTCACAGATTCCATAGGTGCTCAGGTGTCTGTTGATTGGCTAAGGTTGGCAATACTTATGGTTATGAACATTGAATACCAATTAGATACAAAACCAAAGACCAGCAAGACATAATTAAAAGAAAAATGTTCTTCATTTCCTACATAGTGTTATATGTTTGCTACCAGGATGTTTTGAGGAAAGAAACAAAACACAGACATAGTGTGCTATTGGGGTCTAAAAAGTTTCCATTGCAGAAACCATAGGGTTGTGCTGTTTCAAAGTGAATAAAAGGAAGTCTTGTATTGCTGTTCAACTAATAGCCCAGAGATCCAGAAACCCAGCTGCACACTCCAGAACAGTTTGGCACGCCCTTATACCTATTGTCTGCTTCAACTTAAGGGCTGAGGTTAATCGTGGGTCCTGTTGATACCTGGGACTTTGGGAACAGGGGAGCAATTCCATCACCTTTCTGCTTGGTTAGTGCTTGTGTGGACTTTGAGGGCCTTCCTTCCCTGTCCTCATTTTGCCTGCCTACTTTTGCTCCTCAGGTGGTAGAAACTCCATGCCTACCTGGCCAGCCTCACCCATAACCACTTTAAGTGATGGAGCTATTTCCGAATAGTACCAATACTGAATCCAAGTTCTTTCAGGCTGTTAGCATTCACAAGATGTTAGTACATTACTGTATTATCACTCATACATTGGTCTCAAGTTGCTCACTGTCTCTGCTATTTAAGCCATTTCTTTCCGGTGTTCTTCATTCTAAAGGAAACTTTTTGTTTCCTTGTGAAGTAAAAGTTTAGGCAATGTACCATATACAGAAAATATCTAAGTTAATTTGAATTTTTAATAAAGATGTAAAGATTTTCTTAAAAGAGCCAGGAACAGCCAAAAAAACTTACTTTAGTGTTCAGATTCACCTTTCATTCAAGAATGTGAGCTGAGCATTATTTTCTCATTTGTTTCTCTTTGCAGAACAATAAAAGGAAAAGGAGCAAATCCAAGCAGCATCAAAACAACAAAGATGCTAAAGAAAAGGGAGAGAGGCCTGAGACGGGGCCCCTGCAGCAGCAGGCACCCCCAGTGCAGAATGGCCATATCAATGGCTGTGAGAAGGACAGTTCGTCCACTGACTCTGCCAATGAAAAACCAGGCCTTGCCCCTCGTGAAAGAAAGATCTCAATACTGGAGGAACCAACAAAGGCATTTCGTGGGGTCCCAGGTCAGTCATTCCTTCACTGCATGGAAGGAAGGCAGTGCAGATGGAGCTCACTGGGCTGAGGTTGTTGCTAGTGAAACCGTGGAAGTGAAAGGTGGCACTGATATGCTAGCTTCAGGATGTGGATCTACAGTGCAACGTGGCTGAGGAGAAGTACTCAGTCTGGCTCAGTGCCTGAGTCTCTGGATTCTTTTTCCCCCTAAAAGCCCCTCTGGTTGTAGTCCATATCAGGATATTCAGGTAAATAGGAAACATTAGTTTAAAGAGATTCATCATAGACACCCTTGCTGGTTTTTGCATGAAATAAAGGAAAGGCAATTGGTGACCAAAGGAAATATTATTATTTTCTTTTAGAAGGGGTCAACCAAATTATTTTAAGTCCTGCTGATTTTTTTAAGAGCCAGAATCATCAATCTTTAATAACTTACAGGCAAATGCTAAAAAATGGTTCATAATAACAGAGGGTACACATAGCTTATAAAAAAAGGGTAGTGGGGACTGCTGATTTTTATATAAAGTAATAGAACATCCAGGGTGTTAGAATCTGCACTGTTATTTGTGCTACAAGCCATACATTAATTAATCTAAAGAAAGCAGCTTCTTAATTATTGTTTGACCTTGGGTACATCATTTTATTGTCCCATTTCCTTTCCATGAAAGAAGAAAGCTCTTTTAGTCTGTTTTCTACTACTTCTATACTAGAATGCCACAAATAGTTAATTATAAACAACTGTTTATTTGGCTTGTGGTTCTAGAGGTGAGAAATCCAGGATTAGGGAAGAAGGGGGGAAATGAAGGAAAAGGAGGAAAGAGACCAAACTCTCCCCTCCATTTATAAATCATATGTTCATGCAGTAACAAAACTACCGCAGAGATATCAACTTCAACTCATCTGTAAGGGTGGTACCCTCAGGACCTAACCACCTCTTAAAGGTCTCACCTCTCAAAACTGTTGCACTGGGAATTAAGTTACCAGCATGTGGATTTTGGAAGACACGTTCAAACTATAGCACACACTGTACCAGAATCTGATAGATCAGTGGTTCTCAATTCTATTTGACCCACTGCTCCACTTTGATAACATCCTAAAATAAACTTTACATAAAATGTAACCTACTTGAAATAGACTTTAAATAAAACATATGAACTTCGGGAATAACTAAAACAGAAGTCCTTATAAAGTGACAAAATGGTTTAAGCCCTTAAAAGAAGTAAGACAGTACTCAACTGAATAGTATGAACACTGTTTCTTTATCTTTGATAGGTGAAGGAAGGATCAATAAGTATGTTTGTATGTGTGTGTACTTGGAATACAACTGTCACAAATGCAGAATGATGAAGGGTGTTGGGGGCTAGCTTTAACACAAGAATTGGTATGTGGTTGGTCACTGAAAAACTTTCAGTGAAGTTATAAACGCTATCATCCCTTAATTTACACAGAAGATGAGTCCTAGTCATCTGACCATATCCTGGATATCCACAGTGAAACTTTCTAGGCTAATACAACTTCTTTAGTAGTCATAATTGTCCAGGTAGACATAAGAAAGTTTAAGAAACAAGATAATACTTTGTTGTGCAGGACATTTCCTGTGATCGTAATTCATCGAACATCCTGCTCAACCGCATCTACAGTCATTTTGGTAAATGTTTAAAATGTTCCTTCAGTTTTTCAGAATGCCTCTCTGATTTTTTTATTCCCAAAACTCCTAGTTATAAAATCTTAAGAATACTGAATTGATGGTGTGTTTAAGAAACTCTTAATGTTCAGGGCCCTGAGCTAGCTGCCACAGGAACCTCTGAGGAACTGAGTGAATGAATCCCATTCTCATCTTGCAGAGAAAAGAGCAGGTACATTACTGAATTTAAAGTTCGGAAAACAGAGGTGTCATGTCCAAACTGAGCAATCCAGGAACATTTTGTGGTCTCAAGGATGGTAGAGATGACTTAGAGGATTCAGAAGCAATTTTGAGATGTGTACTCAGGACCCCTGGGTATTACACCAGTGATGTTGAGGCGACAGTGCAATCTTATGACCAGCTAAAGATGAATAAGGCACCATCCCTGTCTAGAAAGAGTACAGTCTGGCCCTTTAGACAGACACAAACCGAAAATTGCATGGTGATAGGTACCAGATGAGGGACACTGTGAGGAAGCATATATAATAATAACTGAAACACTGTACAATACACTTCTAAGTCACTCACAAAGCACTAATTTTCTTCCAAAAACACATTTCCTAACAACTCTAAAAATAGTCCCTGTAATACAGTCCTTCCTTAGTGACTACATGATCATTTCTTAAAACCAGACAGTAACAGCAAAGGTAACTTATTTTCATTTTTAATTCAGATCCTCCTCACACACAAAAAATTTAATTCATTTTGTACTATGCCTACAATTTTTAGAATGTCTTGATTTATTGTCAGGGCAGAAAAAAGAAATTAAGTAATCGAGCAGCAGATTCCCAACTTTACTTGTTATTGCTCTCCCATGAATTACTTTCAAAATCTAATTACTCAAGTTGCTGTTTTGATATCAATCATAAACTAAAAGCCTGGCCCATAAATTTGTTTATTTCCTTATAATTTATGCCTTCTTCCTAAAACAATTTCAGTAGCTCTATCAAGTAGATGACATTGGAGTTCACTTCACAGTGGAGAGCTGCTGTGAAAGTTAAATGCTGGCTAAGGGAGTTTTTATGTGAGGGGCTTTGGCAAACCCAAACATGAAACTTTCTAGGAAGAATTCTTTTTTTTTAATTTAATTTTATTACTATTATTAAGGTGTTGTACCGAGGGGTTGCCATTTCATAAGTCATATAATGAATACATTTCTTTTTTTTGGACAATATTACCCCTTATTTTACTTTCTTCTAGTTTCCAAACCCTCCCATCCCTGTCATGAGTTACATAGATTGCTTTCTACATAGTAGATACTGAATAGCATGATTTCAGTTTTTCATCCTTCAACCCTCCCTTTCTGAGCTTGCTTTTCTTCCCCAAAAGAAAAAAAAGCAAAACAAATACCACCACCACCAATAATAGTAATAGTAACACCAACAAAAATGCATGTTTCCATTTCCTAGATCTCATGTTGATAAAATTTAAATGCTCAGAAGTTATACCTTTGAGTTCCTCCTCTAAGGATAATCTCCTCCTTTAGTCTGACTGCATATGAACAGCTAGAGTCCTGTATAAGTTATGTCTGGTTATATTTTAGATCTAGCTTCCACATATGATAGAAAACATGCACTGTTTGTCTCTCTGAACTTGATTTACTTCACTTAGTATGATTTGTTTTAGGTCCATCCATTTCTCTGCAAATGACATAATCTTATTCTTTCTAATGGATGAGTAAAATTCCATTATCTATGTGTGCCGCATTTTATTGATCTACTCATCTATTGTAGAGCATCTAGGCTGTTCCCATAACTTGAATTTTGTGAATAGTGCAGCAATGAACATGGATGTGCAAATGTCTTTACTGTATCCTGACTTGTAATGTTCAGCATAAATATTCAAGAGTGGTATGGCTGTGTCATAGGAAAATTCTAACTTCTGTGTTTAGTTTTTTGAGAAACCTCCAAACCTCCTTCCAGAGTAGTTATACTAGTTTACATTCCCACCATCAGTGCAGTAGGGTTCCTTTACCCCCACTTTCCTGCCAGCATTTGTTGTTGTTTGAATTCTTGATGTCAGCCAATCTAACTGGGGTCAGATGGAATCTTAACCTTGTACAGTTAGGAAGAATTTTTTATTGCCCAAAGAACAACCCAGTATCCCTTTGGTTTTATAGTTTAACACAAAGTGATGGTTTGTTAATGTCCTCGGTTCATTACAAATCTTCGTGTTGAAGAATAAAGGATGTAATGGAAAGTTATTAGGTGTGTTTGGAAAAGGAAGAGAATTCCCTGAGTTAATCATTAACTTTATTATCAGCCCACATGTAATGATCGTAAACTTAAAAATGAGTTTATAACTAATTTAGGTTATACTTTCTAAAGATAATAAAGGTTCATCAGGAAGTTAAGGTCAAAACTGTGAGGTGACATTTAAATGCTTGTTCCATCTATCAAGAAATTTTGAAACCCTAGAAGACAAGTCACAAATGAGGGTTAGGGCTAAGATACTGCCTCCCATGTTGAGTAGAATGTTGGAAGTGAGGAATTTAAGCAACATTTTTAAATCCTGTCTCTTCACCTGCGAACTGAAGAAGCTGAACCTTCCAGGTTAAGAATCTATGGTATAATTCCTCCTCCTCTTCTTCATCTTCTTCAACATCATCATCATCTTTTTCTTCTTTGTCATCTTTCTCTCTTTTGTGTCAGTCTTGGGGCTTGAACTCAGGGCCTAGGTGCTGTCCCTGAGTTTTTCTGCTCAAGACTAGCACTCTACCATTTGAGCCACAGCTCCACTTCTGGCTTTTCTTGGTAGTTAATTGGAGGTAAGAGTCTCATGGACTTTCCTGACCAGGCAGGCTTTGAACCACAATCCTTAGATCTCAACCTGCTGAGTAGCTAGGATTACAGGTATGAACCATTAGAACCCAGCAGGATAACTCTTCTTCTTAACTCTCTGAGGTTGGCAAAATCCTGACTCAGGTCCAGGAACACAATGAAGAGTTACTACTACAATCATGAGCTCCCTAATTCAAAAGAAAAAAGTATAATTGAAAAGTTAGAGAAAATAATAACAAGGCTATATAATGATATTTTATACTTGAATTGGTTTACAGTATGATCCTAAAAAAAAATCTCCAGGCTACTAATTGTGGAGCATTCATCAAGCTCTTTCCAGTAATGAAACTGGCTCCATAAAGCCTGCCCTGAATTGCCCCACTGGGCAGGAGGCTGAAGGCACTTGCAATGTGTACTTTATCTTTTTATAACACCTTGACATTCAGGATCTCTTTTTAAACATCTTAAACAGAATCATTATTCTGGTAGGAGAAAAGTTAGCTTTAAGATATATGCAGGTGGCTCAGGGGTGTTAGTGTGACTTCCT